TTCCATTTAAGCCAGGCACACACATTTCACCTTTCACTTCAGGCTCTAGTATGGCTTGGCCTGGTACTAGTCTTCTCAACATGTTTTGATATTTTATTCATCATAGATTTTTGCCATTAACTTTGATTTTTAAAAATATTGCATTTCGATGACTGAGTTTTCTAGCACACCCTTAAATTTTGCACCTAGATGAGTGTCTCTCTCTCTCTTCATCCTGGTCCCAGCCCTGTTATGATACCTTTTTTCTGCTGCAAATGGCTGCATTCAATATACCTCGTCCTCTTTGATTTACCTTGCACGCTCATCCCCTATTTCCTTACATCCCTAAATCAAAGGAGAGGGTCTATTTTCAGAATCTTTGAAAAAAGGAGCATAAAATTCTAATAAATATACCAGACAAGCAATGAAAAAGCCCGGTCTTGCATTGTCAGTAATATAAATCTCCTGTACTCTCCCTTGGGCATTCTGTTTTGGTTAAAACCAAAAATGTAAGTAGACAAGCCCAAGAAAAAATAATGACTCCTCCTTTCACTCCCCCAATTCTGTTGTTGCATAAAGAAGAGAAAAACTCAAACCAAAGCAAAACATTAACTTCCCAAGTGTCACTAACTGTTTGATCTTTCAAGACAGAAGTTATAATAACTATGTTCTTGCTGGTGCTACACTCTTTTGAAAAGTTACTTTTCCACTCCAAAGAAAATCTTGTGCAGTTTCCATGTGGGGCACAGGAATCGAAAGCCTTTTTTAGGTATGTGAATTGACCGCAAGGAACACAAGCTGCATGAGAAAACCCGAACGGTCGGAAGAGAGTAAGGAGGGAGATGGTGCATTACTGTACTTCAGGTGGTCATGTGAGAAGCTAGCGCTGCTCTCCACTCTGTCGTCTTCCTGCAAATCCTTTCAGTTGTTGCCTTTTATACCCCAGCTCTCAGCCTTTCAGCTGAGTTTTCACCACACAACATCTTCCAAAGAAGAATTCTGTCCATTCCCATCGTGCCTCATCCCTCTCCCTCATTACCTGCTAACATGCAGTCGCGTCCAGTCCCTTCGGAAATCTACGTGACCTAGTGCGAGCAGGTCATGTTCCCACTGCAGTGCCTGTCCGCCCTCACTCCTCTCTCTGTTTCAGCCTGATGCCCGTGAGATCACGCCTGTGCAAGGGGGGCCTTGCCTTTCGACGCTGCCCACAGCCTAATGGGGAAGGGTCCTCTCTTGTGCCACATTGCCTTCACAGGCTGCTATCTCGTGGGTAGCAAGGTAGAATCTAGTGATGCCCAAGGCTTTGGTAAGTAGTTGCAAATGAAGAAAATGGCGACATTGGAAGCAACGTGAGAGGAATTGTTGACATTGATATAAAAAAAGGTACTATTCTCATAGCACAAGCACTCTATAAAGTTGGTGCTACTTTTCATTCTAGTTTGCAGATGAGGAAACTGAGAGAGAAAGAGATGAATTTATTTAGCTAACACCACACAGTTAATAGCAGCGGAACTGGAATTTGAACCCAGGCAATTTGGCTCTTGGCCCAAAGGTTGTGACCAGCATGTTATCCTACACAGGCGTGGGTTACTGGTAGATAATTGACACACCAGAGTAGCCAGCACCATGTGGCACTTGGGGTGCTGTAATTTGTCACCACTGTAATATATCCATATCGTAATCGATTGTCACTGTAATTAATTGCCACTGTTCCTTGATTTAAGTGCCAGCCCTAAACCTGCCACTTCAGGCTTCTGCCCACTGACCTGGCCGGCCTCTTTAGTGCAGCCCCAGCCAGAAAATATTATGTCCAGGCCCTGGTTCAAGGTCCCCAAACATCTGGGCCTGTTGATACCTCTCCCCAGTCTTCAAGTTCACTGCACATGCTTGCTCTTCTCAGAAGCCATCCCTGACTGCAGGCTCACGGCTCTTTCGCACCTCCAGACTCCCAGTGGATTTATGGTCTGGAGTATTGGTTCCCTTTCTTTGTCAACACAAAGACCCCTTTTGAATGTCAAAAATCGACCACCTCAAATCCCTGTGTGATAGTAAATATGTAATATCTACTCTTGTGGGTCTAAGCCGGAGGTTCTTGCCCCTGGCTGCTCAGTAGAATCACACGGGGGGTTTTGAGAAATCCCAATGTCCAGACTGTACCCCAGAACAAATGAATGAGAATCTCTAGGGGTGGCCCCCAGGCACAGTTGTTCTTTAAGCTCCCCAGGTGATCCACATTGGGCAGGGAGCCTGAGAACCTATAGCCCAGCATATACCTCTTCGCACTCTGCGACATACTTAGTAACATGCCTCCTAGTGTCTCTCCCCTTGTAGGACTCTGTCAACAAGCCTGCAAGCTCTGAAAGCCAAGAATCTGCCTTGATATTTGAGGCTTTCGCTCCTCCAAGTGTGGATCACGGACCAGCAGCATCACAGTATCACCTGGGAGCTTGCGAGAAATGCGGATTCTCAAACTCCTTCCCCAGACCCACTGGTTCTGAAAGAGCATTAACGAGCCCCATTGATGATCCATATACACAGTAAAGATTGAGAAGTGTTAAAGGCACAAAGAGATTGCCTCCAGCTCGAGAGGTAGGACTCTCACGCCTCAAAAGGCCATTACAAATAAATATCTATTTATTCCTTTATGTATTTTTCGTTCACGGCATCATTATCAACCTTCTGGGCCGCGTCTTGGCCTGTGCGTAGAGGAAAACCAAACACTCCCTTCTCCTCCTTACTGAGAAAGTCTTCTCCAAATGTTTCTGTTTGATAACTCTGGCCTCTGACATCCGCAGCACCCTATGAGCTCACCTCCCTTTCTTTGAAGCCCTGACGCTCACCTAAGATCTTGGTCTAGGATCAGCTTGCCCAGACCTTACGATTCTTATTCTCATACAGATAAGGCTAGGCAAAGGCTAGGCTACTAACTGCAGAGCTTGAGAGGGGCTTAGCATGTATACTTTTCCCTTTTCCTAAGAATAAAGAAAGAAAGGTTCACTTCTTGGCATTTACACAAAAAAGCGTACTTAAAAACCACATTAAAATTACTGTTATTAAGCAGTTTTCCAAATACAATGCTTATATATTTTTAAATGCCATATGAAAACAGAAATTTGGCAAGGCAAAATCAGTGGGTTTTTAGGTGTGTGTTTTCCAGCTTCCCCGCAGAGTACCCATGAAATGTTATAAATGCAGTTTAATGAGGGTTTCACAGATAGAAATGCCACTGTGTCTGCTTTCTTGCATCGGGATGGGAAACAAGTGAGTTGATTAGAATTGTGGTCATACCAGATATACTGTGAAGAAAAGCCATTTGTTAGTTTAAGTTAGGACTTACACCTTGATGACAGTTAAAAATCTAGGAAAAATTTAAGCGAGACTAATTCTCTGATATGAAAAGCAAGACCATGAAATGCCAGCTCATTTATATAATCATCTGAGTATATTTTTATTCATTGTGGCTCTTGGGGCTTGGATCCAGGCAGAATGTCTTACTTGAACCAGAATTTGGCCTGATAATGATTGGCACAGAGATGGAGTTTAAAAAATGCATTTGAAAGGATGATGCAATTAAAGATTCTTCCCTGCTCCACAGGAAATGGAGTGGAACTGAATTTCACAGTGCTTTTAATGCAATGACCCCGGAAAGCAGGAGGTCTGAACACCATGGAATTCCTCTCCACCAAACTTCTCTAAAGAACATCATATTTTTATGTCTGAAATGGTTTTAGATAAAAATAAACACATCAAATTCGGCATCAATATAAAGGAACAATTTGACATGTGTCACTGTTTCTAAGATATCATTGAATAAACCATACTATAATTTTATATATGATTAAGAAAGAAAAAAAATGCTATGAGTTAAATTAGGACATGCCATTGATTACAAGGTAATCTCAACTTCAGAGATGATAAAGCATGGTGGCGGGAATGTGTCTTAGAATTGTTGAAATTCAGCAGATTAAAAGCACAACATAAATGATACTTTCATGAGAGGACAACAACTTTTCTGTCACAAACTTAAGGTTTGGTGTCATGGTGGCAGCATCACTGGTTAATAATGTGATATTATTCCCTTAATCGGATTTGCCTAAAGCTCAGCATCTCCATACACTCTGCCTCTGTAGCGAATGATTGTGATTAATCCTAAATTCTGACTAGTGCAAAAATTTAGTGCTCCTTCCTTTGGAGGCAGAAATGGCAGCAAACCATAGCATCCAGCATGGCTTGCATTTTATTTACTCTTTGCAAAAATGGGTGCACGTGGAGACCAGCATATATTTTTTTGTAATTTTATTGGGGAACAGCCATGGTCATTGGACACACATTGCTTTCATGCTACAATGGCATAGTTGACTCTTTTTTTTTTTAGGAGGGCGCAGTTCACAGTGGCCCATGTGGGGATTGAACCAGCAACCTTGGTGTTATCAGCACCATGCTCCAACCAACTGAGCTAACCGGTCACCCCCAGCATGCATTTTTTTATCAAAAGGATGCTAACTATAAATGGAGGGAGAGTCAAGAGGGTACTCACTTCTAATTTCAAACGGGCCCGTAGGCCTCACCTGAGGCCTGTCTTGTGGTTTGGTAAGGCGTCATTCGCGCTGGTAAATTACAGGTGTCAGATGCATCCAGGCTCAGGCTTACGGGCCCGTAACTACAGTTATTAGGATTCTAGAAGTAGAATCACTGATGCACATCCTAGTCGGTCCTTTGAGCTTCTTGGCAGTGATTTAGTGCTTTTTTTTTTCTGGTAAACACAGTCCAAAGGACCTCAAGGGACTAGAACAAGCCAAGAATGAACCAGAAAAATCCTGTAAAGCAGTTTTAATTCGGTAAGTGGATTGGTAACACTTCAGTACTTTCTGGTTAGGTGGACTGATCAGATGTGCCAGAAAATTGCCAAAATTCCACTTCAAGTCACCCTGCATGGGATTATGGAAACCTTTCTAATTCCTTAGAAACCGAAATCGAAATCCCCAAGCGGATTGAGATGACGGGAAAAGTGGGATACTCACGAGGATTGGGAGGCCTTTCTTCTGAGTAAGTAGTCCACAACGTCAGGGTCGGTCTCCAGCAGGCTTACAAGCACTTCATTCTGGAGATCCGGGGAAACCTGGGGGGCCAAACGCCAGGACATGAGTAAAACCATTCCGCAAGGAGGCAAGCCATGGTCATTAGCAACTTTCTAAGCAGAAAATGGAGCCTTAAGAGTCACAAGAGAACAGAGTTGTTGGTTGGCTGAAACCAAACCTACACCAACCCCTACAGCCAGTTTAATTCTTAAGACAAACTAGACAATTATCACAATCCAAACTGTCACCCCTCTTATGACTGGAGATACAGACCAATCACTTGGATACCTCTGTTGCTCAAACCTGATTTTCTTGGTTTTGGAATAAGCAAAATATCATTGTTGAGAGGAATGATATTTATAAATTATTGTCCAAATGGGGACATTTTCTAAAGTTTATATTTATGGCAAGACAATAAGCATACATTATGACTGCCTTGGGCAGTTCTAGAACGTATTATCAGTTTATTGAAAGGACAGGTTCTTGAGCCAGACTGCTTGTGTTGGAGTCCCTAGTTCTACTTCCTGGTTGCAGGAACTTCGGCACTGTACATAACCTTTCTGTGTTTCCTTGCCTGGAAAATGGAAATAATAATAGTACGTACCACAAAGAGGTGCTGTGGTGATTAAATGACTTATTATATGTTGTGAACTTAGAACAGTACCCGGCAGATAATAAACACTCATTTAAGCCATGTTCCTCTAAGTCTAATCCACAGTGCATCAGAAGATGGCCTTACAATCCTAAATCACTCGTGTGGGAATGCTCTACAGGAAAAGGTTGAACTTGATTCCAATGGTTTTCTACTCTGTAGATGCTGGTAGCTCAACCAAAGGAAATTCAAACTGTTGAGAGACAATAGATTTTCACACACCATCTTGGGGATAAGACTCTTAAGAGCTGCAGGGGCAAGTCTCCTGAGAATAAGTGGTTGGTGGAATAATTTGCTTCCTGCCTCTTGTAGAACTCAATGTTTCTTGAGCTTTGAGAAGCTGGAGACAATTTTACTATGGGGAACAGGGATGAAGAAGCAACAAAACGCTTTCCTTCTCTCATAAACCTGTTCCTCCTACTTTATTCTGAATCTCCATTAATGGCATTGCCAATCCCTCCCCTCACAAACACAAAATCTGGGCTGCACCCAAGCTTCTCTGTGTCCTTTCCCCTCCCTGTTCAGAGCCAGGAGGTCTAGTTGACTTCATCTCCATGATGGCTGTTACTTCTTTCCTCTATCTTCCACTCAACGGCAATGATCGTAGTTTGAGCCCTTGTTGCCCCTTTGTAGTGGTCATCTGTTGGCCATTACCAGATTCCATTTCCCTCTTCGTATAACAGCTATACCCCAAGTTCCTTCTGGAGAACCAACTGTTACCCAACCCTTAGCTCAAGGGTGAAGTGTAACCTAGTCTAAGTCAATGGGCATTCCATTCCCAGAATACCATAGATGTCTGAGCAATGGGCATGTGACTCCATTAGAGACAATGAAAAGCCATGAAGATTTTCCTGAGACTTTTGTGACGGAGGATGAAGGGCCCATAGCCATAGGGGGCCTGAGGATTGTGTTGACGATTGAAGAAACAATACCAGTAATGGAAAGAAAGAAAAGGAGTCTCTTTTCTTTGAGTCCTAGGTGAAGCTCCGCTTGTGGACCCATTTGGATTTGGATTGTTCAGCTATATGAATCCCCAAATTCCTTAAGCTAGTTTGAGTTTTTAGTTAAAAAGAGAGATACATCCTTGGTAGGCCTTTGATGCCACAGCTTGCTAACTTGTGTACTATCTATGTCTTTCAACATGTACATCACATTTTTTATCTGCATGGTTGTCTGAATGCTCCGAGCAAGACGCTTGCTTGCTCAGAAACCTTCTTATCTCTAGAGCTGAAGCCCTCCACTTGCTTGCGCGCCTCAATCTGTATCCCCCTCTTCTTCCCCTGCAGCCACCCTCACACACCGTCTACTCCAGCACTACTGTGCTTCTCACTCTGGCCTTTCCCCGCCTCCTTCCTTTAATTCATTACATAAATATTTGGTGAATGCTTACTGAATGCCAGGCTCTGGACGCTGGGATTCAGCTACAAACCAAACAGACAAGAATCCTTGTCTCCTTGAAGGTGACAGTGAATATGGGAAGACTGCCATGAAACAAATAAACAAAGAAAACAGAGCATGGATCACATGGACCAAAACAAAGCAAAGAAAGGCGATGGGGGACACTGGGGCGGGGGATGCAACTTAAATAGGATAGTCAGGCCAGAGAAACTGACATTTTAGCAGCGAACTTCAGTTGATGAAGGAATTGCAGAAGATCATGCCAAGCAGAAGGAAGACAAACTCAGCAAGATCTTGAGTCAGAAGTAGCAAGGAGGCCAGTGAATTTGGAACAGAGAGGAAAGAGGTGAGCAGTGGGCGCCAAGGTAGCCAAGGCCAGAGGTTGCGGAGTCTTGTGGGTCACAATACGGACTTCTCCCCAAGTGGTGGGGAGCCACTGGAGGTTTCAAGAAGAAGAGTAACACGAATTGTCATCAGTTGATAGTAGATTGTGGGGAAGCAGGGGTGAAGCAGGAAGTGCAGATGGGGGCTGTTGATACATCTAGAACGGAGATGCTGAACCAGGATGGACAGCTGATGAGAAAGATTTGGATCTGGGAGATAGTGAAGATAGAGATGCTAGCATTAGCCATTTGTGGATGGAGAGGGAGGAGAGGGGGGTGGAGGAGGTGAGGGAGGGAGAAGAAAGAGTGACTTCAACGTTTGGGGCCTAGGTACCTGGAGGGATGGGGTTCCTGTTGACTGGTATAGAGAAGCTGCAAGGGGAGGCGGCTGGGGTCAAGACTAGGAGTGTGGCTTTGATACGATAAGGGTGAGAGGCCTGTGATACATACAAATGGAGGAGAAATCTACTAGGCAATTGGGAATAAGGATGTGGGGTCCAGAAGGGAGGCTTGGGCTGGACACGGAAATTTGGGAGACGCACATAGATCTGTGACGGAACGCAATAGTCTGGGAATTAGAATGAAAGAAGAGGAGGGGCAAGACTTTTAGGTCAAGGCTAAGGGATTCTAGTCTCTTACTTTATTGAAGAAGTTAAACAAATAGAAGGACTGATAATGTTTACTGTAAATTTTTCAAATAACATGACCAAACAGATATGCAGTATTATATCAATTTTTCAAAAAGCAATACCTAAAGGGTGAACATGAGAAGAGAGAGCACTCACTTTTACAAAAATGAACAGCAAAGCAAAAAATAATATAGATCAAAAATGTATATCCTGAACTCTTTTGAAAAGAAAATTCCACGTGCAAATTCAAAGAAACACGTTTAACTGAAAATTTTCTATCCTTAGACACATAATAAAAATTTTTGCTCCACGCACCAATCCATTCCCACCAAAGAATAAACAACTAGAGTGTGTATGGCATCATAATATTCATTCTTGGAGAGTATATGGCATGTCTAGTGAGAAATTATTAACTCAGATACGTTATTGCAATAGGTTACAGGAAGTATCATTATTTAAAAAATAATTTTCCATAACATTTTGTTAAACTATTTTGCGATTCAGAGTTTTGACTCATTCAACTAGGCTTGATTCCCAACGAGTGATAATTACTGAGGTTTATTGTATGTAGCATACCTGACTTTTACTTGGTATCAAATGCAAATAGAAAGGGTCAGTGCTATAAATCTATGTATAGCTTCTTTTTAAAAGACGCGTGATACCATTTTTGCTTGGAGACACTATTTACAAATAAGTAAAAAGATAGTTTAAAAAGTGTGGATCCATGTACCGAAGTAAGAGTAGATAATATTTTCCTGTGATTATGTAGGACTGACTACAGTGTACCTAATCCATTATTTTAATTAATTTATATGTAATCTTGTTACAAAATGATATAAAGCAGCTTTAAAATTCATATGATAAAACCACATTTTAAAAAATAAAAGAATGGTTCAGAAAATTGGGGCCACTGGGAAAACGAGGGTAGAGAATTTGAAATGATACCTGGACCCGGCTTAATATTCATAGAACAGCATCCACTGAGGTTTTCCCAATACTGCCTCTAATCTTTCTCCATATTTGCACATTTCATTTCCTCTTAGTTAGTAAACATTTCAAACTAATGGCTCAGTTCAGTTGGGTGAGCATTCATTTTCTATTAATTCAGCTACTTAATAGCAAAACCAAAGTCAAGGGAATGAATTGATAGGAAATATCCTGGCTGACCATTCCCATCCGCATTCTTTTTCGGGAATTAGGATGCTGTTGAAACAGCATCTGACTAAGAGTTGATAACCCCTGAGGTCCAGCTTTGGCTCTGCTGCTCTAATTAATGTAACCGTGGACACATCAGCTGTCTTCTTTAGGATCTGTTCCTGCATCTGAAAATCCAGGCATAGCCTCTCTGTCCCATTTGCCTTTACGGAGGCGTTATCAGGATCAAAAGGGCTACCAGATTTGATGGTACCTTGCCAACTGCCAAGAGGCTTAGAATGAAAGGTTTTATTAGAAAGGGACAAAACAATTAATAAACTAAATACCTGAAAGAAAAAAAATAAATGCAGAGAACATGGAGATGGTCAATATATGTTCTGTGGTTTGTTTTCTTGACTGACAGTCATCCGTCTCTGCCTCTTAGCCTACATGTTCGCAGAGAAACATCACTCTCTTCTCTTTTGCTTAATACTCTGGTGAGCAACTAAGTTATGGGATTTCCTGTTGATATGTCTCTGTGCATGACCTCCCCTTGAATTTCTAGAGTTAACAGTTTATGACCTCTCAGCCCCTCAACTGCAATGGTCTTGAAGCCAGGCTCTGTGTAGCTTCTCCCTTCTGGTTCCTTCTCTTCCATCAGACCTCAAATCTTTGGGTTGGGCACATTGGGAGGTAAATTTCCTGAGGGCAAGGGATTATCTGCCTTGTCTACCTGGAAATGATACAGGCTCCTAAGGTTGGAGTGCTCTGTCAGCTAGCTTCCTTTGCAGCTGGGGCAAGATCACATGTGCCAATCCTGGCCAACATACCCAAAAGGGGGTTTG